ATAAAATAGAAAAGTTGGACAATAGCATTACCTGAGTGGTTTTTATGCAACGTGATTTATCATTTGATTAAATTTGGGTATTTCAGATGGAGCTGGCTTCAGTTCAGTCATGTAACCCGCAAAGAGCAGCTTTAAAACGGGCCGTTACTCATCTGAAAAAATACGCTGGAAACCGCCAAAAATGCATTGTGTAACGAAAAAGGAAAATGTACATCTAAAAACACGATCATTTTGACTCAAATTTTCTGGGCTACATGACCAAACTCCATAGTATCGTTTCATATGCCTAAGAACTTCTTCCATTTTTGCTGACAGACGTAAGCGAGTGCCGCGTCTAGGGTGGCAATCGACATCCCTACAGTGGCAATCAACATCTTGCTGCCGGCTAGGATAAAACTATCAGGAGCTAATCTGGCGCTCGTGTTACGATCCCGATTTGTTCATTTTTGTATATCGCCTTGGTTTGAGCGTTCATCAAGTTGGCACCACATTCAAATTCGGATTCAGGTCCACGTTTGGGGTTCGGTGGACTCCTCAAATTGGCCTGCAACTCTATATACAGATGCAGGTTTGATCTCCTGAGCACGAGCACAAGATCTCGGACCGGTACGCTCGATTACCGTTGACATCAAGTATTGCTCAGTTTTAGTACGTTGTTCTATGTTAGCCTATATTGCATGTTCTGTAGGTATGCAGCTCATTTCAATTCGCCATGAGCTAAAAGAGGATGTATTTGGGCCTCAGGATTGTATCATGGTGTACAAACCGGGTCAGGTAAAAAAGCATGGGACATCCAGGTTGCACAGTATGATAGTTTCAGAGAGTAGGCATCCTCTTCTCTATTTCCTGAATATGACATTTTAAGGGGTTTCAGGACATGATGAAGGATGAGCCCTGGTTCTTCTGTTGCATCACCTGAAATATAAAGTCAGATTGCAGCCATTGAATGCATCACATGGTTCCAACATTACTCATACGAAAGGTGGGAAACGTAACCCATAGACCAAATTGTTAAGTTCTGACTGGCAGTTAATGGTGCCATCAGAAAAATGTTTTTGACAGTTTTTATGGAGAGGATGAAAGACAAGATAGTGTGATGATGCAAAAAAAGCAATGAAAAGGCGTCATTTTCCAACCAGCTGCCAGGATAATTTAGCAGTGACTTTAACGTGAGCGACAGCCAGCCCCTCGCACCTTCCAATCAGGTACTCGGTCGAAGGCCCCTCTGCGGGCCCCTCGAACACTGCCCCAGGCCGATTCTGGGCTCCTTGTCATAGATGACCCTTGTACACGACACAGGGGCCCCTTAATTGTCTCACAGGCCTCGCCGATGTAAATCACAGGGGAGGGCTTTAGCAATGTTTTAAAAATGGGCCCTGAATTTCAGACCTGATGCTTGAATGTTCTGGTCGCGAATCAGTCACGTGTTATGGTCGTTAGGCCTCCACCACAGGGGTGGATTTTCGCAAAAAGGCTAGGGGTTCCAGCTGAATACCCTAGCCTTAAATGCACAAAAAACTGATTTATTCCCAGATTTTATCCACTTTTCTCTCCACGTTGTAGAGCTGGATTTCTACCCAATTTAATGGGAACCTACGACACTGCTCTAATACTTTTCTTCACTCTACCTCGGCGGAAGATGTTCTTGTTGGGCATCATTATCATTTTGTTTGGCGTCGATCGCCGAAACTATGTCTCCGTTATGGACGCAGCGTTGATGTTATGCAGTTTTAAACGTTGTTGGACGTGAACAGCCTTGGGCATGACGAGAGTAAATTGGTGTTGGCGAATTGTAAGCTGCTACGGAAACCCCGGTTAGTAGCCGTAAGGCAGGCTGCGGGCTGGTGCGCAGCACTCCCGTTAGGCACGCTTGACACGGCACTGCCGTTTTAGTGGTCATTGTCGGGTGGCCACCGCTATCGGTTTACTTAGTTGGTGTCGATCACCAAGTTTTTGTAACTGCTCCATCGAACATCCACGTTGTATTGGAGGTTGGCATATTTCAACGTTTTTCTAACATTGCCAGCTACAAATTTGTTCACATTTTCGCGTGCCAACATTTGACCGGTGTGTTTTCAATTTTCCGTAGGACGTCTTATCGTGCCGTGGCAAATAAGATAACTTTCTGCAGTCTGTGGATCTTTACGCATCAACGAATAATACCAAAACACTTAGACACTATTGCACAAAACGTTATCAGATTCCACAAGATGTACTAATCGTGTCGGTAAAGGCATGCATCATCCAAGAAAAAAGCAAATACTCACGTAAACACGGTGCGAACGCGGGGCTTTTATAGTGTGACTAGCTCAGTTAGCTGCTCTCAGGTGAACATGGCATCGCAGTTTTATTTTTGTGTGCCTTTTACCCGCAAAGCAGTTGGTAGAAACCTTACTTAAAAATCAGTATAATTCTGATTCCCCATTCGTAATGCCCTGCTTGTACTTTGGCTCCAGAAGGTTGTGGCCCACTCACTGTTGGGGGCCGAATCGGACTTGGGGAGGGTAGTGGTCCATCCAAAAGAATACAAATTGACACCCGTGTCACGCTTGCTCTTTTTTCGAGTTCGTGATACGTAGTCACCAGGTTATAATTTCACAGCTGGAATGGTGTCACATTAGTGCTACGACAAAAACTTCTACCTACTGGAGTGCCACGACACCAGTTATACGCCAAATTACGTCTACTGCAAAAACTTACGCAGACTTAACTTGTAAGCGGCATTATCTCTACTGCGAAAACTAAAACGCGACATGTGTGGAACACGACAGAATCTATGCTTCAAAAACTAATATACACCACTGCATACACTATAAAAACTTATGCAGCCTTAACTTGTAAGCGAGATTGGTCTGTAAAAAACTCACGCACGACATGACTGCTGCGGGCAAAACTCACGCTGCAAAAGCTTACGCTCGTCATGGCGTGTGCAGCGAGGACTTGTACAGTCTTCACTTATACGTGACATTACTTCTACTGCAAAGACTCATGACATACCATCAGTACTGCACGGCACGGCTTATACTGCAAATTCATGTACCAGCTATTACGTCTATAGCGAAAAACTTACCACAAGTCTTAATCACGAGTCTGCGGTGTGTACGCAATGGCTGTACATCGGCGAAAGAGACACTGGAGTGTACAACTTCTTGGAGCATAAGTTTTGTCGTGTAGCGCTAATGTTGCGCATAAGTTTTGGCAGTAGAGGTAAAGTCACATATAAGGAATGATTGTTGGGTGTTCGCAGCAGAAGGCATGACTAGTTTTTGTACAAGAAGTTTTGTCGCGTATCACTAATGTGCAGAAGCATTGGCGGCAGAATGTCGTCGTCGTAACGTCGTAGCACTCTTGTCGGTGAGAATTCTTGTCGTAGCGTTTATGTCGTGGAACCAGCTGGAACACATGACGCGGCACGTGTGCATGTTTATGACAGGTTAGCGGCCAAATGTTATGGTAGACGATATTACACCACCTAAATGCCGCTTTAAAAGGTTGTGATACTGTTCTTTGAGCGGCGTTCATATCACTACTGTCCTAAACGCTGAACGAGGTCGTCAAATAACGAAACAGTGGCAGTGCCTAAATCCGCAGTAATCAACCAATCTGGCCAAACACGCCTCGTTACGCGGACATTGACCCACCACCCACTTAGCCCGGGCCATGGAACAGGTTATCCAGTATTAGATTTCTGGTTGTTGGTTCTGGTCTAGGGAGAAAACGTTTCGTAGGCACGGATTATAAATGATGCAAACCTTAATTTCAGGCATCATGAAAGCCCATGAAATTTTATTTTAGACGCTGCAGTCATAGGCACAAGAAAATACATGAGCTATGAAACAAGATAGCGGTTTTCAAGCCAAGATAACGCGACTTGCAGCATCAAAAACTATGAAGAACTGATCGTCAATCGGTGGAGACAATTTTTATCGATGGATTAAACCGTACAAGAACTCTTTCTCCAAGACTGGCATGACCCAGGTACGTCGTGAGGTAGCGCAAATATGATTGTGATGCAGCCGCTTACCAAACATGTTCTCGCTTTTCTCCGCACATGCGAGGTCTTAGGTTTGAACCGAACCGATGTGCTCATCGGCCTAAGCCCGCTGCGCCGACCACTCATGTACGTAGACCTACGCCCTGGCGACCGGGACTCTTCATATGGCTAGGAAATGACACCTCAACGCAGATAAAACTTCCGGAACGAAAATATTTGATGCCTGACGCGTTGCACTTCATGCATATCCGTTTTTGTGTGGTTCATCGTCTTAAGGGTTGTATTGCAACGGTTTCCGATATATTTGGGTCCAGGTGAAAATTAAAGTCGTTCCAAATTTCGTCGGTGACAGAAAAGACACCTTTTCACCCCTGACTGCTCGTACGCATGGGGCTAGCCGGTAGGTGCCCCAGGTATAGAGCCTCTTCTGCGAAGAATCAGACTCCAGCTGCCAGCACGGAGTCCGGAAGTGCTGACGTCCGCCGGAGGACAGCACCTGAGGTGCAAGGGCCGGTGTACGATTCAGTTAGAACTGTCCTTGGCTTTGAGGTTTTCCACCGCGGGGCGTTGCTCGACACACTGCCCGTATGACAAAGCTACATTGTGGAAGTCGAACGAATCATACGATTCGAAGTGAAAAGTGAGAAGCTGAAGTGAGAAGCTCTAGCTTTTATTACCTACGGCTGAAAAGATGACTTGCAAACATCCCAACTGACCGCCAGCCCATGCGAGCGCCAGACAATCTTCTTCACCGTTGGAGTCATGCCCACTAAGATCGTCTCAGCGAGACGTCTTGTGGTGATGTGGTCCCAGAAGGGGTGTCATGGCCAACTTTGCCCTCGAAGCTCCGTCTCGATGAGGACGTCTGAACAGGCTCGGTCTCAGTGAACATCACAACGTACTCGGTCATGGTGAAAACTCGGTCCAGGTGTGAATAGGTGGTAGTCAATGACATAAATGATATAGCTGTATCGTTTTCTCCTCGTAATCTACATAACAATATGTGTATCAAACTCGAACGTATATTTGCTCAATTCAAAACAGTATAAACGCTAAAACCACTACGCAATGCGTCGCCACGATGCGCATTTTCACAGCACTCACGCTCGTACTAAAACGCGAATCTGAGCTGGCGTTATTCATGGCTGGTAAGACATGTTGAAAGAATGCATGCAGTGTTGAGTTCAGCAACGCACCTACGTCTGTAAGGTCAATTCTCCGGCAATGCGACAAGGTCTGTTATTTACAGCGACTAGTTGAACAGAACCCTATAACACACCATAGAAACACAAACTGCAATTGACAAAACGAACCACACAAGTTTACGTCGAAGCCAACTGGTCGACGCAAGGTCAGCACAAGAGTTCGATGCGCGCTAATGCCAATGCAATGGTCAAATATCACTTGGGTTTAAAACTCGTCGTGCTTGTACAGCGCTTCTCCAAACTCCGTCGCCTGAGAGCCGACAAAAAGGTCGTATTTCTCCAACACTTCTTCCTTGGAAAGCACGCCGTCTTTGTCCACATCCGCTTCATTGATGAGGTGCTTTGACTCGGCCAGCGAGTGGTCGTAGTCTGGGGGAATGATCCAGGCGGACACCTGTGCCGCACAAAGGCCTTAGCTCGCGAAGGCGGAGCGTGTATACCATCAAAGCGGTGCTCTCGGTTAGCAAGAGCAGTCATCTTACAAAGGGTGAATTCCGAACTGCGCTGCTCCGGGATCCTCACAGAGTTATTTCTAGTTGTGGTCATCATTAAGTCCACGGGGCTTGCACCGGATCGCTAGCTCTCAATAAGTCTGGTCTTCCGTTGTCATCACCGCAATATATGGCCATTAGCCAGCATATCTGGAAGTCTCAACAAGTCTCATTATTGAATGCCAGCCCAGCGACGGCAAAGTGCGTCGAATGCCAGCCCAGCGACATCAAAGTTCGTCGAATCAGCATTGACTGCTTCAACGGAGCATCTAAATGTGTCACATCTTTGCACATTGAAAAAAGTTCGTATCTACGGACGCCTGCAGGTTGAAATGCTCAATAAATTATGTTTTGCGGGCAAGGTTAGCTACGGACAGATTTAGGCCATCGCATAACAACCTCACGCAACGGGGTGGTCCGCAGTGGAGTGCATGCAATTCAGCAAGTATTAGACAATATGCAACACTTTAAACTCATGGAAGATTGTCAGGAAGTGGGCGGAAAACACTCCCAATGTCGACGCGCCCTAAAGCGCCAATCACATCCATTACGGATTGCCAGAAACCACCTGTACAATGTAGGCATTACTTGATATCGGTAACTTGATATAACGTGCGATCACCACTCGTTTATTTGGGTTCAAACGTCTCACTTTCAAAAGCTAGGATTCGTGATAGGTCTCGTCACCTCGGATCAAGAAGCTGTCATAAACATTAATTTGGAAGCATTTTAGCGCACACCGTCCGGTCATTATAGTTGTCACATCCGCTTGTTCCGATGTGGCACGCAAAAAGTTTCACGCGTGATTCCAACCCATTCAAGACTGTACTTTCAGGAACGGTGCTCCTATAGAGCTCCAAATTTCTTAAGTCGATTCCAAAACTTCGTCACCATCGTTAACTAAGTTCAATGACAATGTGATTCATAAGCACATAAGTAGCGGAACTTCGCTGGCTGATCTATGAAAATGCCAATATTTGTCAAAACGTAAATGCCCGCGAGGGCCGCTCGCACAAACAAAGCGAGCAAAGCTCACGATGTTGCCAGCTAAATACGGTTGCTATAACAACCTGGTGTATAAAAGAGCAATGCACAAATCTCACCTCCTCCTTGTCCAAGTATCCATTTCCGTCCTTGTCCCGGTAGCTTTTGAACTGCTCCCTCTCTTTCTGGACCCAGTCGGGCTCTTCTCCACCCGCCTCACCATCGAACATGTCGCCTGGACAGAGCAACACCATCAACTTCAACATCACCAACTTCACCTTTTTAAAGGGTCACATTGTTGAACAGCTTTCCTAACATTTTCCTACCTAATCGCCAGGATCAATAGGCAAGCAAATTTGTCTTCATGGAATCCAGGACAACGTAAGTATTCGGTGATAATGTGCCAAATCCAGCTAATTTGTTATCATTTCCGTAACGCCTAATCCTCAAACTTCACTTCTTCCTCTGGCAGGCTAGGCGAGTTGAGACACACAGACACCATTCCCGTTTACAGGTGTATCTTACCGACCAACCGCTGCATCGTCGAATAAAATTTCACATGGCTCAGTTCCGAAGAATGCTACGAAAGACGTCAAAATGCCGACTTCCTTTCATGCCACGTTACTGAACCGTAACCTCGATAACAGAGCTTCGCACGGTAAACGTGTAGAAAAAGTGGCGCCACGTGAGGCATATTCAGTTTGGTGAACACCAGGTCTTGCTGTCTTGGATGTGTGAGGATGTCATCCACTCCACTGGTGAGACAATTGGTGTTGACTGATGATCGTTGAACTCCATTGGTGTTAAACGCTATACATGGCGCTATATACGATTTAGCAGTGAAGCAGCTTAAGGCAACAGTCGTGCAGTGCCTTGTAATCGGCCAGCAGTGTTCTAAGGCCAGACGGTCCTTACCGATATATTCATCCTCAGTGATTTTTCCGTCCTTGTTCTTATCAATGTCTTCAACAGTCTCCAAAATAACAATCTCCTTCATGTGGTCCACCTCCTCCGGGTGCAGGAAATGGGCAAATTCATCTCGCGTGAGATTGCCATCTTTGTCCTGGAACAGATGCTTGTCGTGAGATGCGAACACGCTCCTGCAGATACACCATTGTCGCGTTGGGATAACGGATACGGTGGCACACCCAACGTTGGTTTCAGCAAAAGCTGACTTGGAACTTATTCCCCGATCTCATTAAGATATCTGAATGAAATTAATTGGAAATGTTACAAATCCCCGCAGGCTTCCTCCGTCGAATCTCCGTTAGGATATTCAAAATCACATTACCCGGAGCATCTATCGCAGCGCACCCCAGTAAATTGGCCTACTGAGGTTGCTGAGTTCAATGTGTAGAAGTTCGCGGGAAAATCTCCTTATTCCCTTGACACATTTTTCTTACCAGAAGTCTGGCATCCGTGATGCGATACTTTTTCAAACTAACGGTTCCAACGTGGGCCGCACGCGACTGTGTACGCGGAAGAAGCACCTTCATTTACGTCAGCTCCAGTTCATAGCTTCACGACCCCGTACAAAGCATTAAAGTGGCAATATCTCAGTTACGCAGGGTTTGTTGGGTTTGAAAACTGTTCCCTGCGATCAGCTGAGGTGTAACAAAAGCGGCTGCCTGGAATCCGAGCTTTCGGGTCGTCATTAAAATAAATAATGGACGAGATAGCCTTCGACAGGCCCATTTCGCTTCACGTAATGAATATTTCTTATACGCCAAGCTCGCGGTAGCCGAGGAGCTGAATTTTTGGTTACCGTGCGCTCAACCTGAATACAATGACTGAACGATTGGTTGGTAAATCTGACAGCTGGCTTCCCTGTTCATTCAGCCTCACTGACTTTGATCTTCTGCTCTGTTCGGTCACGTGCCGCCCACCGCGCCAGATCAGGACCACCAATGAGGAGGTGGATGCGCCCCGTATCACGCGTGCTTGAGTTCATACCGCGTCGGCAGCATTCCATCTCCGGTTGTCGCGGTCCACCATCTGTTTGTAGTTTGTGCCGTCTTCATCCTCGGAGTCGTCCAGATCTTCCGTGAAGCCATACACGGACTTCCTGTAGTCTTCCCAAGATATGTTGTCTTTGTCCTTTGTGGTATGCGCCTGCAAAAGAAACGGATTCCCATGATTGCGCTTATCACAAAAACCGCGGACACAAGCAATTATGAAGTGAAGGCACCCCGTGCATATATAGCACACCTAGATCCGATTGCTGTCTGACGCTACATGTAACTTATCTATAAATTCATTCGTAAGATACATACGCAGAAGTTCCCGAGTCGCACTTAATGAACATAAATAAGCTCACATAGACACGCTACTAAATGTTAGCTATTGACCTCAAATATCAAAACCCAGCCCCTGCACAGATCACCAGGACTTAACGATAACCCAACATGTAACTTACCTCCCACTGCTTGTCAGCATCTTCATTGATGTACTTGTTCTGCGTGTGCTTCATCCATTTGGTAAGTTCTTCTTCCGTGAGTTTTCCATCCTTGTTTTCGTCAATTTTGTCCACGATTAGCCTGCGACAGTTAAATTTGTAAGCACGCCACGTCTGAAGGAAATTTTAAGTGCCACCAACATAAGGAAGAGTAGAGTTCGTCCGCATACAACGCGGAGCCCAGCCGCGATAAAGCCACCACGCGTGAAACACCTCCCCTTCATGCTCTGGCACATTTTTCCATGTGCGCAGAAAATTTGCCTGAAACGTGCGAGGATAAGGAAATATAATTGAAGAGCAGCCAACTCAGGTTTGTGGCGTTCTTGATCCACCCGTGGCGTAATGCTTTGCTATGGTTCACATCTCAATCGACAAAACACCACCGCACATGGCATGTCTTAATGCAGAGACGTACCAACGACTAGGAAGGATTTGCGATTTGCAAATGAAACCTCCAAAGCGTCGACCTTACTCACGCTAGTCTTTCCTTGCTTTCATCGGGTGAAAGCTCGTCAAACTCCTTAGCTTCATCTCCCAAAAAAGCTTCATGATCGTAGTCCAAGTTGTGTTCTTCGTCTTCATCATAGTGATCTTCATCACTGAGCCTCTACACAAAAAGATAGCCAGATCAACAATAAAATTGCTTTCATCACCAGTCCTACTCATATTTAAGCTTACGACGAATGACCGACCACATTGTCCGTCACTGACGACGCCGTGACAAAGGTTCGTAGAGCAACAGATGTGTGTCACATATGTTTGTATGCAAATCTTCATATGCGAATGCCCGTTCATAAGTGCTTACCAGTGTGTATGAACGCAACGGAGATATCCGCCCATACGCATGCTTGTACGCGCAAATGGTTGCGCCTAGGATATTCGCTACCCGTATATTTGTTACATAAAGTGTTCGTGAACGTTGATGTTTGCATCGATTATGTCCGTATAGACAACTGTTCATGAAGTAATAAGTCTGCCAAGATCAGCATCTGCGAGCGAGCTTCGAAGCACAATGCAGAATCTTTTTTGAGTTTTATGTTCCTCCATGATGTTGACCCAGATATTCTCACTTTTTTTGGTCCGGCGTTACAGTAATTCATTTCGGGTTTCGGACATGTTGGGTACACTAATTCATGTCAGGCTTATGTCATGTAGGACCAACAGTTCGGGAATTTTCGAATTTTAATGTTCAAAATCAATGTCAGACGTCCACACGCAAAATCGATTTTAAAAGGTGACAGTATCTTCTCATGAAAACCCGATCCCTTCATGTTTATGGGATGCGAGCTGAGAGCCTGCCAAAACGTTGGACACGGTATAACCGTGTCGGGTCGGGCCATCCATTCAAAACGCAAAGCCCTTTACACCCCACCTTGCGAGTCGCTTCGCGGCTCAGTGAGTGTGTGTGCTTTTGTTTTTTATTCGGGCTTTAGGACGCACTGAGCTGCTGACGCTGTATGGCTTCGCCTGTCTTTTACCTTGGCAGGAAAGGCGGGCACCGCGGGCAGTCTAACATCGTACCTCTGGTTTCCCAGACGCGTGGCATAACCAGTGCACTATCGGCACTCCTTTGCGGTTTAGTAATAACCGAACGTCCACATGCGCACATCTTCATACTGCAGACATTCGTGCGGATGTTTTTATTGCACATGTCTAAAATGCACGCCTGTGCACCGGCAAAGCCAATCAGGACGAAGAGGACGCAACAGACCAAAATGCCGGCGCACAGTATGAGACGGGATATTTTACGGGGACACCGCCGCTATAATCAATATTCACAGCAAACAATGCTATCGGCAAACCCATGTGTTACACAAAAACTGCAGTACTAACAGTACGAACGTACCTCTCCCGACCATTTATGCTGATGAGTGGTTACGTGACATTCCAGCTCACAAACTACGAAGCATACCTAAGCACTCAAAACCATTCCCCTTAACCAGAACTTGATCATTAATTTTTATCCCGTCAATCGTTTTTTCAACTTCAAATTTTCCTGATCAAACTGCGATCATTTAGCCATCTTACCTGCGAAGATGTGTCTGGTTATCATCAGTAACATGCTTTGGACATAATGAGCCTCAGACACAAAGTAATGCTCACCTTTTCCTTTGATCTGTCTTTGTGTTCTGCTCCAGTTTTGGGAGCTGCAGCTGCGAGTGCACATGTGCACAAAACACCGAGTAACAACAGACGCATATTTAACCTGCAACAATGGCAGTTGGTCAACAGACGCGCATTGCCCGTTATCATCACGTCATGCTGAACATCGCTGGCCACTTTTCTGTTGACTCTGAAGACCCGCGACCAGAAGACGTACACTGCGAAGACACACTCATGAGACCTCTGCTCGTAACGGGCCGTCCACAAAGCATTCAAGGCATTTTGTCGATTTGATCTTCGATCGACCTTCGACCTTTCTATCCCTTGCTGTGCGCAGGTTACCCAAGGCGAGAAATCCACCTCCCCTGGTTATGATGCATAACTTTTAAAATATCAACATGATTGGCCATCATACCGGAACGTAACGCTACGCTCATCCGCCCCCCCCCCCCCCTTGTTCCGCTACAGTTACGCTCCATTAAAACCGTCCTCCCCCTCTGTGCCGTCCACAATATCATGTATGGGCGGCACCTGAGGCCTATCACTGAAATGCTGTGTGACATCTCGACTGTTGGATTACCGGAGGCCAGCACAAGTAGTATTTAGGGGTAGCAATCCAGTCTACCACTCTCGGTCTGCTCACTGCTTCATCTTTCATCCCTGCAACAGCCATTTTTCCTGATGCATGTTGTATGAACAGGCCATGAGTATAATCGAGATAAGAGACAATGAGTAACAAGAGTTGGCAGCCCTGCCACAGTACCCGCACATAGCCCAAAGAAGGTCTCCTGAGCTGGGCAAGTCTAGGGAGCCGAAGCCTATCAGACACATGCAGTGGTGCCCCCACAATTTCCACTATCCTTTATCCCACTGCCCTGAAATGGTCATTGCTGCCTGCATAGACCCTAATCCCATCCCAACCAAGAACAGCAAACAGCCCTGACTAGTGGGATGCTCATGGAAAGGATAGGCATGGAAGCCAGAAGTAAACAATGGTAGCAAAAGCAATGGTAGGGGAACCCAACAAAGAGTTTTTCTTTTGCTGGTCTTTCCCTGTTAACATACACTCCTTTCTTCCTGGGCATAGGGGTCATCCATAACTTTATGCATTTTAGATCATTCTTCAATGCCCTCCCCTCTTGATAACACACTGGTCACCTTGTCAATGATAATGACAGTATACCATTTTGTACATTGTCACTGATGCAAACTTTTCCTTTTTCAATGTTTTCACCATTCTGCTTTACATTACCAAGTCTGAACACCAGCTATTACACCAGATGTAGATTGCTGACAGTGAGCAGGATGATCTTTGGCTCCCCTTTAGTAACCAGTGATCAAATCATGAGATAGAAGTTAGTTTGTTTTGACTATTGGCTATAAAATCAACCAATAAATGCAGCATTTGTTTGCTTCTAAGATCAGTAGAAATGCTGTAAAAGAGCATTCAAATGCAGTACAATGGTAAAACTGTGGGGTGCCTAAAATATAATCATTCACCTAAGATTGGATATATCATAACTTACTGGTGCACCGTACATGACAGGGTTTGGCTATCACACTGCAGTAAATATCTTATTGAGGCAAACTTATCATGCTACAAAGGAAGCACCTCAGATTCAACATATTAGAAGTAAGATGCTACTGGATCTGTTTCTTTTCAGTGTGATTTTATTATGTCAAAAAACAATAGCAGAATAAGGTCAATTGTTATTGAGTCAGGACTCCACCAGACAGACTGCACAAGGTATTTGTTGCTTCCAACATGCCTGACATGGTGGCAATACCTCACCATACCTTTCAGCACATGAACACTACAAATTCAAGTGCCCCAAGACCTGGATGCATCTGATACAGATGCTTACCAGGCTGGGAACATCACAGCCACTTAGTCATTTTATGCAACAGCCTGATTTTCATACACTGTCCTACTGATCCCAGTGGTGGTCATGCCCATGTCATAGACTGAAAAATCATGTCATGCTGAACATGGAGCACTGCCGTAGCTGCAAGTAAATTTGTGCGTGCACATCAAAAACCTGCATGCCTTCAAGTTTAGCACATGTTTACCACCAATTTCAGCACATAGAAAGCCATTTTTCCAAGTAGTTATGATGACTGGAAGATATTTTCAGGTAGTAACACCCTAAAAACTTTTTTTCCTGCAAAACAATTTATTATTAAGCATATTTTGGACTGGCCTTAGTTTTCATTCATGTGGGCATAAGGTGCAGTGTGCTGATATTAACTAGACATATGGTGCAAGGGATGGACTTTGTTTTGCAGCCTGGTCCATGCATGATTGGTCTCATGGCAGACATGTAAGTTGTTAAACACATTTGCAAGGAACATTATACATGTAGATAAGACAGCACTAAAGACCTCATTCCTTGTAAAAATACTGGGAGAATAGAGCAATAGATGCATAACTTTCTGAGCTATATATTCTTATCAGCACAAATATCAGAGGTCTGATTCTGATATCTGTTTCTACTAATACTTGTCTTGACAAAGGCATGTAGCCAAAATATCAATACATGCATCTCCCATTCTCCTGGCCATTGTACATGGAATATGGCAGTAAGTCTTGCCTCACCACAGAAGACACACAGCAAAACTACCAATTCCATTAAATATCAATGTTTCATGTTTCTTTCATTTCAGCCAAGCACAATGCAGAGGGATGCAACACTACAGCCATGTTAGCATACATGCCTGCTGGGAGGATACAATTGCCAGCTCCATTCCTCCCTGATGGAACGATGCTACAGTGTTCCTTGAGGTTGAGTCATAGACTGTTTATTCCTGACGCGGAAATAAAGTGTATCCTTGACAGCATAGCGAAGATGCAGTTTCGAAAAGAGCTGCGGAATTATTATTTCACTCAGTTATGTGCATAAAATAAGCTTCCAAGGTACACTTACCGGCTTGAACCCACTTCAAGCCAAGCTGTACAGCAAACGGCTCGGTATTGCAGGCAAACCTAATTACAAACAACAACGTTCAATCTTTCCCGCTCCAGGTCCAAATGCACAACCGGCGAGAAACGCCCACAAAGACAGCGGCTTAAATGAGACTTCATCGCCACGTTCACTGATTTTTAGAAGCAGACTTATAGTATAATTTTTGTCCCAGCAGAACCTTTTCTCAATGAAAAGGGACATAAATGTGGTTTGGTTTTTACACCCATTCTCACAATTGAAGGATCTAATTGAAATTTTGCCTTATTATAAATTGTGGAACAGTGTTTTCTGTTAAAAAACCAAGCATAAATGGAATAACATCATCATTTGAACTAGTATGTTTTAAAAAGGCAAATTTCCTACCAACTTTGCAGCAATGCAGGCACACGTCATCCCTGGCAGCACAAACAATGATGTCAACCAATCACAGCGACGTTCAGGAACTTGGGTGTGTTCGCAACCGGTCGTAATATATCTTGCACTACATTGCAGGTGACTTGCACTATCTTCATTCAAATATGTTATTGGGATACTTTCCAGATTATTCGCAGTGGGCTTTTTAACAATGGAGTTGAGTTTTTATTCCAATTCAAGTACTCTTAGCTAACACCAGTTGAGACATTCAATCAATTGCGTAAGCTGTTCAGTTCATTCGCCAAGAACAATATACATCTAGATAAGACAGAATCACTAGCCTTATTCCCAGCGAAAAAAGGGAGGAGAATGAAGAGATAGATCAGTTGATATTTCGGCAACATGTTTTCGCCGAAGCGAGTATCAGTAGTAAATTTAAACTTGGCTGCCGATCCTGCTCCTGCTCGACTTTTCAGTGTCTTTGTTTTGTGTGTGTGAACAGCGAGCCACAGTTTTTACAGGTAATCAGAATTCAGGTGATTTAACAAGGAGCGAGTGCCACCCATTACCACGATGCGGTGCATATCTAAGAGTAAGAGTACGCGAAAAATACGTGTACATGCAAACGAATTCATGCGCACCACGCATCACGCTTCATTCAGGCATGCAAGCAATTTCCAGTAAACAGGCATCACACATCAAGCCTCATTTATACATGCGATTTCAATGAAACAGGCATCGCGTATCACGCGTCAGGCTCACTCATGATTAGAAACTCTTTGCATGATGCAAACAATTTTAATTTAGCACGCATCACACATCAAAGCACGTATCACATTCTCATGATCGGCCAGGACGAGCTCCTTGCGGTACTGTCTGGTCGCCGACTTTTATAAGAATCCAGTCATTTATTTTCTTTGCTTTCATTCACTTGATGGTATTTGAACGTGTGAAGTACGCCATTCTGGATAGGCTGACATACTGCGTAGTACTGCATACCGAAGTATGCTGCGTGCGTTCTGCACAACTTGGGCGCCAAATGTCTAATAGATTCTTAGTTGTTCCTCGGGTCCACAGACCTTATCGCACACTGCTCATCATGGCCGATTATGCGAACGTGATAAGTGCCTTGATAAGTGTTGTGTCCTAGCTTTAAATCGTTTACATGATTCATACCCGAGTTTTTTTAGTTTACTTGAGTGATGCCTGACGCGTGACATCCTATTCAAAACCGAGTACGAACTCGGTCCCTCCGGTAGAGGCTAAAACAAACAGAACACCAACCAGACAGGAAAAGTGAATCCATTCTTATAAAAAGTTGGCGACCAGACCTTAACCTACGGAGCTTATCATAGCCAACCATGGGAATGTAATAAATGTCTTAATGTGCGATGCGTGCTAGCTTAAAATCGTTTTCATATACCAGGGATGCCGACGCGTGGCACGCGATGCCTGTTTAATTACAATCATTTGCATGTATAAATGATGCATGCTGCCTGTTTACTTGAAATTGCTCGCATGTTTGACTGAAGCGTGATGCGTGATGCCTGTTCACTTGAAGCAATTTGCATGTGCATGTACACGTATTTTTCGCTTATTTCTATTCTTAGTTGAACATGTGCTGCATCCTAGTAACGACTGGCAACTGTGGCTCGCTATTTCCCCCCCCCAAAAAAAAAACAAACAAAAAATAGGGTATGACCAGCAGGCAATTTCCAACTTACTACTGATATTTGTTTCGTTAAAGGCATGTTACCGAAATGTCAACTCACCTATCTCTCCATTCTCCTGGTTTTTCGACGAGGAGTAAGGCTGTTGCTACCGTCTTCTTGGCATTCGATTGATCCTTAAAAACTTACTTTTGCAATTTTTTTGTATGGTGAATATTGTAACATTAACTCAGCTCAAAAACGTTCTACAATTTTTGTGCTAAACTCAGCAGATATGTGCTATTTTCATTATGACTGCCCTCTTCTTGGAATTTTTTCTAAACTATATTAAAACTTAATCAACGTTCTGAAGAACCCGTACATTTTTTCCGTCACAACCGAAAGTCGCACCTGCCTGGCTAGCATACACGGAAGCGCGTCATTGCTCCACATGTGTTATCCTTACCGGCCGCCTCCCAGCCAGCAATTTGTGTTGGCTGAAGCGCAAAAGGTAGGTGCAGCCCGGTGGGATCCTAAGTAAGCCCAGCCTCAGGGCATTGATGCGGGAAAACGGTGTGGGCGCAGCTCATATTTTGCTGGGCAAAGCCTTCACATGAGCTCAGCCTAGGAATTCTCGGCTATGCCTGATGGGCTCCAGTCAGGTTATCGCATCCAGGGCGACAACTTGAGCTCAGTCCATTTGTATGCATACATACCCCAGGGGGTGCAGCCCTTATTATGTTGGGTAGCGCCACAACCAGAGCGCCATACGCTTAACACATTCTTAGTAATTCCCCGCGTCCACAGCGTAGCAAACCATACTAGCAAAAAACAGAAGTATCATTTCATGTCACGTGGTTGACCCGAAAAAAACGTTATTTCGATGAGGATTCCAAATCGGGGTCTTGTCGGAGAGAGATTGCGTCCTCCTGGGTCCTGTCGTAACCTCCTACCTGCTCACGGCAGAGCTGATTCCATCGGTCGAGCGACTTGGACTAGGATTAAAATGCTACATCTGGGGTGGTAGCCATCGACCCAATGGCTACTGCAGGTATCAGGGTTGGTCGATGTACCCCATTCTTAATACATTCAAAACCGGGCGTAACCGTCAGGCCGGTACCGCACAGCTTATACGCATGGCTGTCAAGTACTTGCCACATGAGACCCCTGACATCTGAACGAACTTGGAGAGTCGTGTAGGAAGCCCCTAAATTACTGCGCAACCGGCCCGCATACATCGGACTGAATGGGAGTCTATCAAAGTCCCAGGTAAACACGTCCATTTGGAGCGTGTCAGCGCAACGGAAGCCCTTCATGTGCAGATCCGCTTTGATCGACTCATCACTGCAGTAAGTGACGTGCAGTAATCTGGGTGTTTCTTCCATGAACACCTGTTTTGGACATCAACTGTCAGGCTATAGGGCAGAAATGACCAGATATCCTAACGCTATAACATCACCATCATGTGGTGCTAGAGAACATTGTACAAACATCAAACAAGTGCATTTTTGTGTCGCGGATGGAATTTTTGCGGACAAAATTGTCACCAGCAGCGCAACGCAATACCATATGACGAAGAAATCGGAATGGCATCCCCGCCCAGCAGCGTAATCAGGAATCTGTGCATCGCCGCGAGCTATTTTTATCGCCGCAACTTGCAAGATCATGCACACAACCGCAACGTTTACTTATGCAATGTCTTCAGCCAATGCGAGGGTAGCTGTTGCTGCGAACAATGCAGACACACCGGCCATACACAATGGGATAGTTTAATTACGAAGGTTGCGTTCTTCCACCCCCGGGACTTGCCGTGGCCTCACATTTAAGCTTAACCTACGGCTAGATGTGCTATCCTCGACCGCGAAAAAAGGGCGAAAGACTTTGGCAGCAGGGGCTGTGGAGTACGCGGCAAGATTCCAACCCGTGGTAGACTGGGAGATGACATCGAACATGCTGGTCTCCCCGGGGCCGTGTGTCCTAATGGAAACCACACGTGCGCTTCGAGTCCCACCGCAACCATCATCATACTCTCCACCATACTTAAGCCGTGCTCCAAGCCGAGCGCAGTGTGTGATGTCTGCAGCCTTTTTCATAAAGGTTTTTGTACATTTTTTTGTACCTTCTGTTTTTTGTACATTCATTCATTTTTTGTACATTTTGTACATTTTTGTACATTTCTTGCACATTCGTGCTGCAAGTAATAAAATAGATATCTCGATAATACAATAATATAATACAATAATCGAAATACAATAGTCGAAATACATCGAGAATGTCTACAACCGTAGCTTAGTATGTTTCATAAAGGACAGCTGATTTTCCAGCCGCGGTGCATTCGTAAGATTAAAAGCACAAATCAAAACTACAGATCAACAATGGCCTACCCCATGCTAGAAAAGCTGATCGTGAGCTTAAGGCAATGACAGTAGCGAAAGTGGATTGTGGACACGAAGCTCGCAAGAGAAGGAGGCTTTCAAGAATCTCCCGGGGCAAAATATACAAGTTCTCAGAGGAAGTGAAAGGACAACCAAGCTCGCGGAACACAGCGCTCAGAGAAAACAGCCCAGTAATGGTGTTGATGGATTTAATAATCTCTAACTCCACGTATGGCCCGTGCAACCAAGCGTGCAGCATATTCATTCCTTTGCGCTATTACCCATCGCTACAAGTGACCTCGGCACCCGGACCGACCCGATCGAAATCCTGTGTCGTCTCGTGCTCGCGCGCTGAGGGAGTGGGGGAGTATTGATACGAAGGTGATCATTTTCCGTGAGTAGGCCTACTGGCATCCGCGTCACTGCCAGGACGAGATGGCTGTACTAATTGGTTATGAAATGTCCTAATTTTAAGTGTAATTTCTACTCATGCAAGTGAAAGCATGTATACTCATCCTATCAAACTGTGGGCATCCGACGACATTCACCTTGACGCCAAACACGGACAGCCATCGCCGGGTGTGAACGATGCATAAACGCCGTGTCTGTGAGAAGAATATAGGTGTCTACCATGGCAATAGAACACTAGTATTATGCTGGTTCACTGAGTTGCTGTTTCGGTGATTGCCATAACAGTGTCAATATCCTGTTTGTTTA